CCGTTTCGCTGAGGTGTTCCAGGCGGCGTGAGTTGTGAAACGATTCCACATTTCCTTAAGTGTGTACCAAATTCGTGACTTAAGTATTCTCCTCCACGATCTGATCGTAAGAATTTTATCTTTCGGTCACGTTGATTCTCTATCTCATTCTGAAATTCTTTGAACTTTTCAAAGGTCTCAGACTTGTGTTTCATTAAGTAGACATACCCATATCTACTCAAGTCATCAGTGAGAGTGAGAACATAACGATATCCTCCGCGAGCCTCAACGCTCATTGGACCGCACACATCGGTATGTATGATTTCCAACAAGTTGGTTGCTCGCTCCATTGTTCCGGAGAATGGAGTCTTGGTCATTTTGCCCAAGAGGCATGGTTCGCACGTGTCAAACGATTCATAATCAAGAGACTCTAAAAGTCCATCGGCATGGAGCTTCTTCATGCGCTTGACACCAATGTGACCAAGGCGGCAGTGCCACAAGTATGTGGGACTATCGTTATCAACTTTAAATCTTTTGGCATCTACACTATGAACATGTGTAACATTACGCTCGAGATTCATTAAGAATAAACCATTGACCATCGGAGCATGACCATAAAACATATCTCTCATATAAATCGAACAACCATTATTCTCAGACTTAAATGAGTAGCCATCTCGTATTAAACGAGATCCAAATACAATGTTCATGCTCAAACTTGGCACTAAATAACAATTATTAAGGTTCAAAACTAATCCCGTAGGTAAATGTAGAGGCAGCGTGCCGACGGCGATCACATCGACTCTGGAACCATTCCCGACGCGCATCGTCACCTCGTCCTTCGCCAGTCTCCGTTTATTCCGCAGCTCCTGCTGTGAGTTACAAATATGAGCAACGGCACCGGTATCAAATACCCAGGAGTTACTACGAGTACTGGTAAGGTACACATCAATCACATGTATATCAAATATACCTTTGGTGTTGCCGGCCTTCTTATCCGCTAAGTATTTGGGGCAGTTCCGCTTCTAGTGACCCTTCCCCTTGCAATAAAAGCACTCAGTCTCAGGCTTAGGTCCATTCTTTGACTTCTTCCCGGTAACTGGCTTACCAGGCGCGGCAACCTCCTTGCCGTCCTTCTTGAAGTTCTTCTTACCCTTGCCCTTCTTGAACTTAGTGGTCTTATTGACCATCAACACTTGATGTTCTTTCTTGATTTCAGCCTCTGCTGACTTCAGCATCGAGAACACTTCAGGAATGGTCTTTTCCATCCCCTGCATATTGTAGTTCATCACAAAGCTCTTGTAGCTTGGTGGGAGCGACTGGAGGATTCTGTCAATGACCGCCTCATCTGGGAGGTTAATGTTCAGCTGGGTCATACGGTTGTGCAACCCAGACATCTTCAGGATGTGCTCACTGACAGAACTATTTTCCTCCATCTTACAACTGTAAAACTTGTCGGAGACATCATATCTCTCGACCCGGGCATGAGCTTGAAAAACTAGTTTCAGCTCTTTGAACATCTCATATGCTCCGTGGTGCTCAAAACGCTTTTGGAGCCCCGGTTCTAAGCTGTAAAGCATGCCGCACTGAACGAGGGAGTAATCATCAGCACGAGACTGCCAAGCAAGGTCCTTCTAGGACATATTGTTTCCTGGCAGCTATGAGGATGATCCTCAGGTTCCGGACCCAGTCCGTATAGTTGCTGCCATCATCTTTCAGCTTGGTTTTCTCTAGAAACGCGTTGAAGTTCATGTTGACATTAGCGTTGGCCATTGATCTACAAGACATATTTGCAAAGGTTTTAGACTAAGTTCATGATAATAAAGTTCTAATCAAATTATGAACTCCCACTTAGATTAGACATCCCTCTAGTCATCTAAGTGTTACACGATCCGAGTCGACTAGCCCGTGTCCGATCATCACGTGAGACGGACTAGTCATCGTCGGTGAACATTCTCATGTTGACCGTATCTTCCATACGATTCGTGTTCGACCTTTCGGTCTCCGTGTTCCGAGGCCATGTCTGCACATGCTAGGCTCGTCAAGTTAACCCTAAGTGTTTTCGCTGTGTAAAACTGTCTTACACCCGTTGTATGTGAACGTAAGAATCCATCACACCCGATCATCACGTGGTGCTTAGAAGCGACGAACTGTAGCAACGGTGCACAATTAGGGGAGAACACTTCTTGAAATTTTTGTAAGGGATCATCTTATTTACTACCGTCGTCCTAAGTAAACAAGATGCATAAACATAATAAACATCACATGCAATTATATAGTTGTGACATGATATGGCCAATATCATACAGCTCCATTGATCTTCATCTTCGGGGCTCCATGATCATCTTGTCACCGGCTTGACACCATGATCTCCATCATCATGATCTCCATCATCGTGTCTTCATGAAGTTGTCACGCCAACGACTACTTCTACTTCTATGACTAACATTTAGCAATAAAGTAAAGTAGTTTACATGGCGTTATTCAATGACACGCAGGTCATACAAAAAATAAAGACAACTCCTATGGCTCCTGCCGGTTGTCATACTCATCGACATGCAAGTCGTGAATCCTATTATAAAGAACATGATCTCATACATCACAATTCATCATTCATCACAACTTCTGGCCATATCACATCACATGATCAATCGCTGCAAAAACAAGTTAGACGTCCTCTAATTGTTGTTGCATCTTTTACGTGGCTGCAATTGGGTTCTAGCAAGAACGTTTTCTTACCTACGAATCACCACAACGTGATTTTTGTCAACTTCTATTTACCCTTCATAAGGGCCCTGTTCATCGATTCCGCTCCAACTAAAGTGGGAGAGACAGACACCCGCCAGCCACCTTATGCAACTAGTGCATGTCAGTCGGTGGAACCGGTCTCACGTAAGCGTACGTGTAAGGTTGGTCCGGGCCGCTTCATCCCACAATACCGTTGATCAAGAAAAGACTAGTAGAGGCAAGTAAGATGACAAAATCCACGCACACAACAAAATTGTGTTCTACTCGTGCAAAGAGAACTACGCATAGACCTAGCTCATGATGCCACTATTGGGGAACGTTGCAGAAAATTAAAATTTTTCCTACGGTTTCACCAAGATCCATCTATGAGTTCATCTAAGCAACGAGTCAAGGGAGAGAGTTTGCATCTACATACCACTTGTAGATCGCGTGCGGAAGCTTGCAAGGTGATGATGGAGTCGTACTCGACGTGATTCGAATCACCGATGACCAAGTGCTGAACGGACAGCACCTCCGCGTTCAACACACGTACGGGACGGGAGACGTCTCCTCCTTGATCCAGCAAGGGGAAGGAGAGGTTGAGGAAGACAGCTCCACCGGCAGCACGACGGCGTGGTGATGGTGGAGAGGCAGTACTCCGACAGGGCTTCGCCAAGCACACAACGGAGGAGGAGAGGTGTTGGGGAGGGGAGGGCTGCGCCTTGGAGGGTGGTACGGCTGCCCTCCCCTCACCCCTCTATTTATAGGGGGAAGGGAGAAGGGGGCCGGCCCCCTAGAACCCATCTAGGGGGGGTGCGGCGGCCAAGGGGAGAGGGGGAGAGGGTGGCTTGCCCCCCAAGCCAAGGGGGCGCCCCCTCTAGGGTTCCCCCCTCAACCCTAGGCGCAAGGGCCCAAGGGAGGGGTGCGCCCAGCCCACCAGGGGCTGGCTCCCTGCCCCACGCAGCCCATGTGGCCCCCCGGGAGGGGTAGCCCCTCCCGGTGGACCCCCGGAACCCTTCCGGTGGCCCCGGTACACTACCGGTATGACCCCGAAACTTCCCGGTGTCCGTTTGACAACTTCCCATATATAAATCTTTACCTCCGGAACCTTCCGGAGCTCCTCGTGACGTCCGGGATCCCATCCGGGACTCCGAATAACATTCGGTAGTCACATACTAGTCTTCCTAATAACCCTAGCGTCACCGAACCTTAAGTGTGTAGACCCTACGGGTTCGGGAGACATGCAGACATGACCGAGACGCTCTCAGGTCAATAACCAACAGCGGGATCTGGATACCCATGATGGCTCCCACATGCTCCTCGATGTTGTCATCGGATGAACCACGATGTCGAGGATTCGATCAAACCCTGTATACAATTCCCTTTGTCAATCGGTACGTTACTTGCCCGAGACTCGATCGTCGGTATCCCAATACCTTGTTCAGTCTCGTTACCGGCAAGTCACTTTACTCGTACCGTAATGCATGATCCCGTGTCCAACACCTTGGTCACATTGAGCTCATTATGATGATGCATTACCGAGTGGGCCCAGAGATACCTCTCCGTCATACGGAGTGACAAATCCCAGTCTCGATCCGTGTCAACCCAACAGATACTTTTGGAGATACCTGTAATGCACCTTTATAGTCACCCAGTTACGTTGTGACGTTTGATACACCCAAGGCACTCTTACGGTATCCGGGAGTTACACGATCTCATGGTCGAAGGAAGAGATACTTGACATTGGCAAAGCTCTAGCAAAACGAACTACACGATCTTTTATGCTATGCTTAGGATTGGGTCTTGTCCATCACATCATTCTCCTAATGATGTGATCCCGTTATCAACGACATCCAATGTCCATAGTCAGGAAACCATGACTATCTGTTGATCACAACGAGCTAGTCAACTAGAGGCTCACCAGGGACATATTGTGGTCTAAGTATTCACACGTGTATTACGATTTTCGGATAATACAGTTATAGCATGAACAAAAGACATTTATCATGAACATTGAAATATAATAATACTTTTATTATTGCCTCTAGGGCATATTTCCAACACTACTAACCAATCACAAACTTGCTCCCCTGATTTTTAGGGAGGGTGGGCCGCCTCCCCATGTATTGACCAATCAAATTAACCCTGTTTGTAAAACCTTGTAACTCGTTTGTACGTGTAGCATTACTCATAAACATGCATACACAATATTTAACGCCCCAGACTGGGGTATGTCACCGTCAAAGAATCAATGAAACCACAGCCAGACTGGGGTATGTTCACTCCGTTCAAGTCTAGAACCGTCGGCCGCTGCACCTCCTTCCATTCTGCCGCCGTTCGGACCTCTCCCGCAGCACGGACAACTGGGCTTCCCATACGTCCCTGGCGAACCCATCTGGCCTCGTCGACGCCCGGCCGGTCAGCTGAGCGTCGTACTGCACCCTCGTGGCAGGGTCGGACAGCGTCTCGTAGGCGCGCTGGAGCTCGACGAAGAGCTCCGTGGACTCGGCCCGGCGCGACGGAGGGCACACGTCTGGGTGGTACTGCAGCGCCAGCCGCCGGTACGCGCGCTTGACCTCCTCCGCGCCCACGTCCGCCGAGTGCTCCAGGGACAGCACCTTGTAGTAGTCGCCCCTGCTCGGCGAGCGGACACCCGCGCTCGCGGCCGCCGCCGCCTTCACCCTGCAGTTGCAGTGGCCGCTCCTCCGGCCAAAGCCGGCGCCGAAGCTAGCAGGCTTGCCCGCGCACCTCAGCGTGGCGGAACTGGAGCTGGCGGTGTTCATGGACGGCTAGCTGATGAAACAGCGGAGGAGGAAGAAGAAACCTCTTGCTGGTCAGGTGATCGTGATCAGAGCGAGCTGTGTTGTGGCGGATGGCGATGTTGGAGAACGAACGGAGATACCCATAATATATAGGCGATTGGAAACCGATCGAGGATGAGACAAACGAGGCGTGCCGTTGGTTTGCTGTACGCGTGCGTTTGTTGCACGGGCGCCCGCGGTTATTAACGTCGCCGTCGCCGGCGATCGAGCCGCAGTGCAACTTGCAAGGTGGTGGTGGACCGGTGAAGTGGCGCCTTGCGGAGCCAGGGGACATGCTGGGCCGGACGGTAAGGTTTAAACGTTAATTCTTTTTTCAGACCGCTGTTTATGAATCAGTTTCTTCGGGAAAGTTCGACGAAGGTCATCAGCTTGGATGCATGGTGTCATGGTGACGATGGAAGAAGCGCCCGGCCGTGTGCACCACCCATACTTTAAGGTGGGCTGAGGCTCAGGCCTGCCCGACGTTTAGGCTCGATAAACGGATTTGACTTTCCTTCCTACCCTCGTCTCGATGGTTCACCCCAACCTCCGCTTCGCGGCCGCCTCCGGGCGGCCGCCACCTGATTTTTCATCGTCGCCGCATGGATCTTGGGGACCAATGCAACTCTAATAAAACGACTAGCTGTGAGATGGCAGTATAATCAGCCAATGTCAAATGGCACCCCAGCCCCTTGTTTTGTTGGGATTCATGTCTTATCTTGTGAAATTCACATGACACATGGCGCGGTGAACACATCTTCAGTCGACCGCTTTCAGAAAAAGAAAATGTATTGTTTTTCGACCTACACGGTTACACCTAACCAGAATTAGGTCACTCAGGTTCAAAAAAAAAGGTCACCCCAAGGCGAATTACCAGGCACAAAACTTGTAATCTGTCCATGATGAGTTGATGACTTGTATCCTAGAAGGGAAAAAAATGATTTGCTTGTTCGTCTTGGACTTGGGAAGGGTGTTCGTATTTTTCTCGATTCCACTCAATCTTCATATGTTCTCATAGGATAAAGTGTGCATGTTTATTCGATAAGTGTTTGTGTTTCTACACCAAGGTGCATGTCCTCTAGCATTAAGCTTACCTAGCTAATGGATGCATGGTCTGTTCGTCGGTGGGTATCAACAACTCTTGATGAATATTGTTTCTGTTTGCTATTTGGCACGGCCTGAGTTTTATTTTTGAAACAAGGCAAAAAGCTTGCCATTTTCATTAAATAAGGGAGAAGGTTAAGAAAGAAAGGTCATCACTCAAACCCCAAGTATTTAGCCCCGCGAGTGCCTACAATAATTTTCTCGTTGATGTTGTGCGCGAGGAACGTGAAGGGAGACGTAGTGTTGCAGAAGACCCTCACACTGCGCTCCTTCCAGAGCTCCCAGGATATCAACGTGAGCATGGAGGACATGGCCTTTCACGAACAGCCTCTAGCTTGGGCAACTCCAACCCACCGCTCATTGACACTCCATCGAGCTCCATTCCCGGGGTTTGATATCCGGAAGGCCAAGCGAGCCAACAATGTCACACCAAACTCTCACCGAGAAGCGGCAGTGACAGAGAGATGAGTCGAAGTTTCTTGGGTTTGCGTACAAAGAAGACACGGCCTGAGAATAGCACTTTGAACTTTGCTCGAATAACAAATTAACAATGAATAATGTTGATTCACCTTCTGCATATTATATGAGATTCGATGGCTGCATTTAGATAGTGAAGGCCGGCGATGATCTATGTTAATCAGTCACGGGTTCAGGTTTGCTTGCCGACCCTAACTAGAAATATGCAGCTTCCTATGTATAGTAGAATATCTACCTTCTTTCCAGCTTACCTAAAGCTTGACCAATATGTAAGACAAGAGTGACGATAAGATGCAAACTACTAGATCGTATCCGCATACGTTGCATTTGCAAAATAAATAAATAAAATGATAATCCTAGTGCACGAATGATGTGCACCATGGATGCGATACAGCCACATACAGGCCTCCTCACCAAAAGCTCAGTATTGTCGTGTCCCGCCGCAAATTGACATGCTCGTCTGCTCGACGTGATCAAGAGCTTTATATTGACTATTTCCCCCCGGAAAAAGAGAGAGCTTAATTGAATATTTGTATCTTTCATGTGTAGGTTATAGTGTTTATGTGCACACTGGTTTCATACCTGGACTAGCTTTCAACCTAGAAGAGTTGGTGTTGACGGTTCATCTTGAGCCTCAGTGGCATTGTGGTTCTTTTTATATTTTATATCTCTACTAGTACCATTGTGCTTGTGTCGTGGTGGTTTTCTGCATTTATAGTACAGTTTAGAGACCGGAAGCCGATCTCTTTTGTGGTTGTATAATTTGAATATTAAGTGACAAATCAATAAAGGGTTACATTTTTTTTATAGAAACGAAGGAGGACCCCGGCCTCTGCATCTGGACGATGCATGCGGTCACTTTATTAATAATTCACACAGGACCTTACAAAGTCGTACAACAATAAGATTAAAGCCACCGTCTAAGCAACATCTGTCGCTACTCATATCCAGTTGATGAAGAGATGCTGATAGTCCGGGCCTAATATTAAACAGACATCGTAACCAAACCTAAACATCTAAGACCTGAGGCCACATCCAGGACGTCTGCCGGGTATGGGGCACCTACTAGTCCAGCGCACTCCTCAACCAGGACGCCTACCGGGTATGAGGCCGCCGCAGCCACCTGCCACCAATCCATCTTCAGAGTTGTATTGTTGCATCAACCGCGTTAGGTCTCTCTGCCATCGACGCCACCACGACGCCAGACATCGTCGTCCTCCTGCGCGAGTCCATCCTCGCACATCAAACGCCGAATCTGCACTGCGCCACGCCGTCGAGATCCGTCGCCATCAATGTGTAGGATGAAGTACGGCTCCACCAAAGATGTTGTCCGCTGGTCCCGCGAGGCCGAGTGCACCTCCAAGAATGCCGCCCCCAAGGGGGTAACGGCACATGATTGCCGCCAACATCCGATCAGTTGATCTAGGGTTTCCTCCGGAGGTATTGAGTGGAGTTGGGAGCTTCACCTCGATGATGCCTCTATGAAGGAAACAATGATAAGGGCATCGTCATCACTGGCTCCGGCCATCGACCGAAGACCAGGTTTTCACCCGAATCTGTCCCAAGTAATCCACCCGACAACCTGTGCATCGTCTCGACCGCCTTCAAAGCCCCAGATCTAGCCGCCTAGATCCGGCGACCAACCGCAACAGCAGTGCCACCATAGGAGCCCTGGCGTACCGGCCACTGCATGAGTATGCCACCACTGGAGCCTAGGAGGAGGGCTCCCACCCCACCCCGCCTCGCCAAGCCGCGAGAGCTGTCGAGATGGATCCCGCGCACTCGTCACCGTCTCTGATCCGAACCAATCCGTAGATCAGATCATCGTCACATATCCGCCTTGGACTGGGACTGCACCATGCCATCCCGTCACGGGAAGCCCTAGCTTCACCAGCCGCCACCATCTAGGGCCGTTGCCCCGGGATCCGGATAGAACATCGCCGCTGCCACCGGCCATGTTCCGCCGCTGCCGACCGGCGAAGCCACCAGTCACTGCGACCTTCGCCGCCATGACCATGCAAGCCCACCGAGCAGCCGTCACCACCAGATCTTCCACGAAGCCCGCAGCTCCATCGCCTCCTCCCATCACCACGCCGCCACTGCGCCGTCGCCGGAAATGGCCGCGCCGCCGCGACTCAGATTGGGAGGAGGGCCCCTACGCCACGGATGACCCACCTCACCCAATGCATCGCGGGAGGGAAGGGGGCCTCCGCCTCCGCTGTCAGCCGCCCGGGGCTTTGCCCGGCGACCTCCTCCAACGACGGCGGAGGGGAGGGAGATGTTGGTTGAGCCCGGCGGCGGTGGGGCCTAAGGGGTTACATTTATTAAAGAAAACTTGTCTATGACTTGAAAATACTTTAAAAAAAGGAGGATTAGCCCGGCTATGCATCAATCGATGCATACAGCCCGACTTGAAAATAACTAGGGAGCAACAGTCTTGTTATTCGCTTGGTGAAAATGAAATGCAATGGAGATGTCACGTACTGCATCGAAAATTCAACCATGTTCATCCACGTACGTTCATACATCATTATCGGGAAATAAATAACGCTTATACTTTAAAAAAAATCTTAAACTAATTGTGAAACTAAAATAGCCGGCTCACCAAGTCCTTGACTAGACTCCTAGCCATGTTCTGCAATTAATGGTGCTTGTTCCTCTTCCATTCAGGCCAATCCTTTGTTATGCTAGTCCATACTTAACCTTCAGAAATGAAGAAATCGGTGGGTATTTTGAGGGAGTAGTAGCTTTCAGGGCAGCTGCACCTCTCCTTGCTGTGGATTTCTAGAACTCTATCAAATACAGAACCTGAAGCTTCATTTCCTTGCTTGCGGTTAGCCCTTGACCATCAGCCATAAAGGCACATCTTTTTAGAAGAGATGAGAATGGCTTATGTGCTTGTTAGGCTGTTTTAACTTGCTTGTCCATGTCGATATCAAGGGAAAAAAACTTGCTTGGCCATGTCAATCCTGTGCAAATTGTCTTTAACATTACTCCTCCGAGTTCGGTCGGGTCGTTATTTGGAACGTGGCTGGATGGGATAGAGTCCGATACAGCTAGACATATTCGTGTAGGAGTTTGTGCGTTGTTATGGGCAATTTGGAACTGCAGAAATGATTTTCCTTTTAACAGATTAACTACTATCATTTTTTGCAGGTTGTATTCCGTGCTACGGCGCTGATCCGTATGTGGTCCTTACTCACTCCGACGGAGGCCAGGGAGCGTTTGGTTACTGGATCTGTCCGGTGGGAGATGGTAGCGCGGGATATTTTCAACCGGTTTGGATGGCGGTCATGTAATAGGATAGACAATTAGTTTTCCTATCTTTATTTTGCTAGCCGGTTGTGGCTTTATGGCCTTTTCTTGTTTTGGCGTCGAGGCTCTATGTGAGCTCGCATTTA